TGGTTAGTTAAGGTCATATGTCAACTTCTATGCATGTGAGTGTGTCTGTCTCTGTATTTGTATGTACATGCACGAAACCCGAAGTGATGGCTCAAAATAAGTAGGACAGCAAAAAGGAACGTCTGTTTTTTGTCATCAAGGTTTGATGACCTTCGAATCTCTCCTCGAAATGGAAGTAATCCCAACAATTATGAAACAAGAGATTCCTCGAAACCCAACTTTTCTTCGTATATAAAAATACCAAATGCACTTTTTCGACAAATCATTCAATCGGTGAGTCAGCCCAATTGTTAGTCAACCGGTTAGCAAGTCGGGAGTCTACCTCTTTGTAGATCAAATGTCCCGTCCACGACCTGCCAGGCTTGGAAGACTCCTCCTCTTGGACACGACGGCTCCGGGTCGCCTCATTCTCGGCTCCCTCTTCATCGTCATTGCGGTAGATCTGGATGATGCCCTTCTCAACAAGCGGCTGCAGAAAGTCTATGAGTCCGGACGGGATGCCACGCAACTGACGAGCAGATGCCGAGCTCGCCGGCAAGCCGGTGTCGGCCGGCGGCCTGCTCGACTGACCCGTCGACGTATCGCAGGCATAGCCGTCCTCGGGAATGAACAGAGGCAGAGGCAGATAGAGCGGCTCCGCGAGGCTGATGGCGATCTCGTCGCAGGCGGACTCGGAGTCGGTCATGTGACCTCTGAACTGTTCCACCTCCTCGGTGTAGGCGCGGTCGTTCACCTGTCGTGGGGGTACAGGTTACAAAGTGGACCAGCAGTCAGCACAAGTCGACGAGGGACAAGAGCTCAGACAAGATGGTGGCACAAATTGGTGGTCTATGCGTAGGGTCTCGAAAGTACCGGTAAATCAGTTAAATGACATGCAACCACCGTAAACCAAATCAATTTTGAATACATCTCATAGCACTGATTCACCGGTAGTCGCATAAACCTACTTATAAACAGAAAATAAGTAGTGCAGTCGATTGTCATAGCAAACATAACTTTGCTGAATCGACAATTCCGCTAAAGAATGTGATATCAGAAACTATATGATTTGTATATATATGGAGACCAAGATGTTGTGGCCTCTGGTATCGTCGCAGTCTCCTTTCGATTTATGGAATTGGGTTGACCACGTTGTCGCAACTTGGTCTTGTTGTTAGGGCGACTACGTAGAACGCACCTATTCCAAAGTCGTCTGCCAGAGTAGTTGTCATGATTCCCAGCATCTGACAGTGGACGGTTGAAAATGTATCAAGTCAACTGTCAGATGCTGGGAATCATGACAACTACTCTGGCAGACGACTTCGGAATAGGTACGTTCTACATAGTCGCCCTGACAACAAGACCAAGTTGCGACAACAAGGCCAAGCCACTTCTATATGAGTTGTGTTGACCCAATTTCGTCCAAGGTAGTTGACTTTTCCCACAATGCTATGAGTAGATCTGATGTTTCCCATTGAATTTCACAGAGCTTTGCCTTCCCAAAAGTTGTTCTCACTCCGGCACCAGTGGACTGCAGTTTCGACCTCGCCTGGGTCTTATCAACACCCCCAGCGGGACTCGAACCTTGCCAGTGCAGCGTTGTAATCTCGACACGTTAACCCCTCCACCATATTGCCAAGAGTTCAATTGGGTCACAGGGCAGATGTGAATTTCAAGGAATGTCAGGCAGTTCCCATATCACATTTCATGTTGAGATTGTCGATGAAGCAAACTTCTAATTGTTATTAGAGTGAGCATTTAATGACGCTTTATATTCTGTGTTGTCTTGCTTTTAATAAACTGTTTGTTTTTAATTCTCATTGATTATCGTTATTAGATGAAGGAACAGAAAATAATTATATTATTTAAAAAATTTTCTAAATCTATTTAATGGGATGAAACCAATGCTATGAGTTCCGTGTTGTCTTGCTTTAAATAAACTGTTTGTTTTTAATTCTCATTCATTATCGTTATTACATAAATGAACAGAAAAATAATTATATTATTTAAAAATTTTCTAAAGCTATTTAATGGGATGAAACCAATGCTATTATTCCGTGTTGTCTTGCTCTAAATAAACTGTTTGTTTTTAAATATCATTCATTATCGTTATTATATAAAGGAACAGAAAAATAATTATATTATTTA